CTGTGCATATAGCCTGTGGGCTATACACGTTTTACAAACTTGACGGATGGGTGCGAGCTATACAAGGGTGTGGGCTATGCAGAGTCTTTAGAACAGCATAGCCCATCCCTGCCCATCCCCCGGCAGGATTATCTTGAGCGCAGGGGTGGGGAGCGGGGCTGCAGGCATGAGGTACAGGCGGGTGGTGAGAGTCTGCAGCGAGCCCTGGCTCCAGCTCTGACTCTGGTGGCCATGCCCAGCAGAGCCTGCACTTGCGGCCATGTCTGGGGGGGCAGGAAATACATGGGTGCGGGGAATACACGGACTGTTTTACGAAAATACAGTTTTCCATGGGCTATACATGGGTGTGGGTTATATCAGTGTGTGGGCTGTATGTTCAAAACTACGGTACTGGTTTTCTTCTTTCATAATTAAATTCCAGTTTCTATCCGAATTGGTTTTGACTTATGTATATTGAAAAAAACCCTCTAGGGAATAGTTATTGTAATTTTTTGTGGAAAAATATAAGCTACAATTTGCTTAGATAAAACTTGTATAGACGTGGTATATTTTGACTTGCAGAAAAGTACCAGATTTAGTATCAAGCTATTACAGTTGCAAATAAACAATTAATGCGAATCAGCTTTTTTGGAGAATAACTAAAAGTACAAATGCAAAATAAGATTGCTTTTAATCGCTTTGATTTAAGTAAATTCATCATGTCAGTTTGCATACCCAGAGCATTTCTGAGTTTACACCAAGTGGTTATGTGATGATAATATGTTTCTTATTTACAGAACCTGGTGAAATTACAGATGTTATGCTTCATTGCTTAAACAGCCTATTGTGCTAGTCAGGATTTAAGAAAGTTGTATTGTACTTTTCCTAAAGGAGAGTATAACATTTTTGAACACTGTAAGAATAGTAAGTATGTACAAATGGGACAATTGGAAAAGCTTACAAAAATCAGACTCTTCTAAGCATGTTATATCCTGGTGTTCATAGGTAGTCGAAGTTGGACACTTCTGGGGTTACAGAATAGATGAAAACAGTCTGACTTTACTCCAGACCCTAGCTGATGAAATTAGTCGCTTTGTCCTGATGCCTCTGCCAGTCAGTCCACATCCAGATTTAGTTTGTCTGGCACCATTTCCTGAATTGGAAAACAAAAGATACTACAGAGCTCGGATCCTGTATGTTTCTGGAGATTCAGCTGAGGTACAGTAATATGTTGTGTCATGTTGAGTAGGTAAGACATAATTGGGCTAACAATCTTGCAGCTGCACTTTTTTAATTAAATGCTTTTTTTAGTGAGGTAATTGTTGCAAAGAAATCTGTAAAACCTTGTGACGGGGGCAGAAAGGAACACTAGTTAAGGGGTAGAACAGTCATTTTCCTTGAAATTAAAAGGAGAATATTATTGATGGAAGAGAAAAGTAAATGTTGTTGTTTCATGTGTGCTGAGATGGTAGATTTAAAAACTGAAAACAGGCTGCAGCTGCACAAGATAATTTGTTTTAGAAGCACAATGATGGAGGAATATGCTGGGTCAGTGAGTTTAGTCCTTTGGTAAAACTGGTGACCATATCATACAGTTCCATTCTTATACTGATCTCTGGCTCCATCTTTCCTATTACTTCAGTTGAAAGGTTGTTTGGATTATCGTGGATGAGATGGTGAGAAGCTCATCTTCTAATTTTCGGTTTATCTTTATGTGTGTCCAGTTTTTGCCCGCTTACTCCATGATTGTCCTTTGACTTCTCCTTCTATCGTGTTTACTATTCTGATCTACTTACAGGAAGAAATCATCTTCTTTCAGTCTTCATATTGCTAGAGTAAGCAAGACATGCTCAGAGTCTCTTGTCACAAAATAGACTCTGCATCCTTTAGATTGTCCTAGTCATCCTTCTCTGGACCTATTTCAGTTTGAAATTAATGTTTTTGAACAGGAGAAACCAGACCTGTATAGAGCATTGCTGAAGAGGTCTTATTAATGCCTTGTACAAAGGCATTAGTACTTTTTCTGTGTCTACTGAAAATACCTCATCTCATCGAATCATAGAAGTCGGGTCAGAAGGGACCTTGTAGGTCTTCAAGTCCGACCCCCTGCCTGGG